CTTTGTTTGCTGCCTTGCTTGTACTCCCCTTATCTGCTTCCGTATGTGTGTAGTTTCACCTGGAAAGCCATGGCGCTGGAAAGCCGATCCTACAAGGTCAGCGTTTTTTTCGTATGGAATTAAGAGTGGACGATCAAAGAGCGGTTTTTGTTTCTCTTAGATAATATTTTTCCGACATCCGCTCCTATTTAATTCAGCGGCAACGACATCGCAGAATTTGCTTTATTCAGCCTTTGGAAATAATGCTGTGAGAGCGTACATGGTTTTTTTTGTTCTCCTTTTCTGTAAACGTCATAACTCTCGTAGAAGCTGCTTTTTGATATCTTTTTGAAAAGTCGCAACAGGCAAGACATTAAGGCATTTAATAAGAAAAGGAGAATGTCTGCTATCTAACAGTATGTCCTTGCTGTAATAGCTTTTGTTAGTTCTCAGTTAATTTTCACACACCAGCACTTAAACTTTATGGCTCAGAATAATTTTAGAAAATAACATAACTTAACAGTTGAGCAAAGCTCAGCCAACAATCAGAAGTAACGCGCAAGAGTGAACAAGCATGTTACAATCACGTAAATTTACATTGCTATTTTTGGCCAGTGCTCATGCACATGGCAGTCTTACAGGTAACGCCGAAGAATTTATAGATAGCATATTTTTGATTCTGCGCTGTTTAACTCGAAGAGTTTCTTGCACAATTTTAGGATCTTTAAATGTATTTATCTGAGTACAACATTGAACGAATGAGTTCTTTGCAAGCATTACATTGAAAGCATGCTTTTCCAAATCAACAAACATAAAAGAATAGGTCCTCATAGATAAACCACTGCAATCTGATGCTTCTAAAGTACAGGTAACGGTACCTTAAACGCCCATCTACTCTTCCTTTAGAATTCTTCATGTTTTACGTCATCCAAATTATCTAATTGCCTATAGCTAAGATTTCGGCATTATTTTTGTAATTACTTATCTCCAAAAGGAAAACTTCTTCGTAGCACAAAACTGTAACTCCTTATCCTTACTTATATGAAGATACAACAAAATGACTTAAGCTTAAATAACTCAGATTTTGAGACACCTATTTTGTTTCACAGCACTGACCATAAGCACCATTTTTAAATATTTTTTTCTGTTGCTGTTATATTATGTTATACTTTTATATGTCTTGAGTAAACAGAATTGTTTTCTCTGTTCTATTCGCCACAATTTTGTGAAATGTCAGCGATTTGGCTAATACAAGTATGAGTCAGATTCGCCCACGCATGGTTCTATGCCGGAAGGAAAAGATAAGTTGAGGGGTTTAGTGTCACGCGTTATGGGCTTTGTCTTTTTTTGTCAGCGTTGTAGCATTCCACAACATTCCAGTAATTTTCGAGCTTTTCACTCATCATTTGTATTTTTTTTCGAAGTAATCCAAA